ATAATAATATTATAAAGATGAAGAAATTTGATTGTTTGTTTGTATACGTTCTGAAACTACTTTAAATAAGTCTTTCATCTACGGGAACCTACATCACACGCGGTACAAATTATAGGTAACAATTAATGAGGGTGAAGTAGCGGGAACAGCTAGTCTTTCTATAAAAAGTGTTTGTAGTTATTTTTTACTGTTGATATAAATATAATGCTAAAGACTAATTGCTAATTCATTGAAATTGTTATATTAATTATTCTAAGTAATATACCTATCTGTCTCTATTGAGGTCTCTGACGATTTCATATTGTTTCCTCTTCGTCGTCATATGAACACTAAAAGTAAAAATGTATTGATCTCTGTCATTTCAAAGACCTTTACAGTGCTATTAATTAACAAGGTTTAGCGTCAGAGTAAATTTACGCTAAAATTACAATTTTAGTATTAGTCCAAATTCATATTATACAGATAACAAGCAAACCTACGGAGGATATATTACTTCTGTAAAACCTCGTACTAGGTTAACCATTGCTAAGTCTGATTAATTATATGAATTTTGCCTAACACCAAGTGCAGTCTCAGTGTAAATTTACTCCAACGCAAAACCTTGTTTATTAATAACACTGTTAGAGTACAGTTAAATCTTACTAAATATGTCTCAGTAACATTTCTCAGTTGCATAATGAAAAATATCTAGTTTTATGAAATGACTTTTGTGTTCAAGTTTACTTTAGAAGCCTGACAATAAATCTAAATAGATTAAATTGGTGGTCGTACGGTGGCATCGGACACCGCTCTCATCGTGGTATCGACTATAGTTACAATAAATTAAATTATTTACATCTGCCTGCCTTATCGATTAGTCGAAGGCACAGTATCGAAGCCTTTCGTTTGAGTATTTATACCTAGGTACTGTTTTATGATTTGTCGTTTCAAAATCTGAACAGAACTCCTTTGGGTTTCCATTTTAATGTCAATAAAAGTAGAAAAGTAGTATTCGAGGAAAGAGAAACTTAGATTTTTAAAATCAGCGCTTTCTTCTACGATATATAATTCTGATTAGACAGTTGATACAAATGAGTAAAAGGCTGACTAAGCTAGAGAACTTGATTTATTAAAGAGTAAAGAAAAAAAACTGTAACAAACAAAAAAGGAATATACAAACAGTTCATATGGTTACTTAAATAATAACATTAAAATAGTTAAATAAAACAATTACATACCCTTTTCTTTGAGTTCGGTGAGTAATTGAACTTTATTATATTTGATTTGATATAATATACATTTTTCTTAAGTTCAAACTCATGAGCATAACGGAAATAAGTAAATAGATTTTAGCACTTTTTTACAAACAAATTGCTATTGATTGAAATTAAGTATGTATAATGTTTCTAACTCGACGAATTTTCACGAACTGACATTCATAAAGAGTATATTGGATTACTCAAAATTTGAAATTACGAAAAGTTAATAATAAAAATAAATGATGTTGAAGATCAAAGACAAAAAGTTTGCTTGTAATATATTATTTTTACTAACAATAAGATTTATAATATATAACAATAAGATTTTTTTTTCTAATGTTAGCATAAAAAGAAGCTCGACTGTCTACCATCGGGTCCATTTTTTTCCTTCGTAGGTATTTAATTTACTTTCGTAATATTAAGAATGTATATATCATAAGTCGTTTTGAAACCTATTGATTATTAATTAGGTAATTTAAAAATATTGTTGCTGTTTTACACTGCTGTATTTTGCGTTATGCTCCAATTGTCTATCTTATATCACAGCGCATAGACTAGCCTGTCGATTTTACTACATTTTTATGGTGCAGTACCTAAGCAGCGCGTTGTCTGTGATAACTAGGCTAAGGAACTTTCGCAAGGGCCAGTCCTAGGGCGAATAAATTATTTTTTTGCCCTTCTCTCTGCTTCGGAAGGCAACTTAATTATCTGGAGTCGTTAACATCAAATGATCCACACTCCTAGCAACAATTAATCACATTAATAGTTTCAAATTTCAAACCTATATGAAACTATGAATGTGAATTGTGACTTAAGACTGACTGCTGATATCGTAAAAGGTCGGTAAATAAATAAACACGATTAGTAACATTTCTATACAATTATTATAGTGTGTGACGGTGGATCGTCGGTCCGTCTGCTAACCGCTAATTACCACGTCGACCAGGCAGATGAAGATATTTTTATTTTTTCTACACATCCACTTAATAACATTCTTCACACCGTAGAACGAGGAAATCCGTGGACCTAACCTATTCCGTCTTATAAAACGATGACTAACTTTAGTACCGGATTTAAACCTTCATCAGACCAAAATAAGTCAACATGGCTTTAACCAAGTTCCTAACTTTAGCCCTTGTTTTATAATAAGACGAATAACATTAAAAATAAAAATAAAAGTTAAAAGGTAGAAAGTTGGATTTAAATCACTTAAGTTTTGTTTCAGTACTTCTTCATAATTTATTGAAATTTAATAAAAAATATTATGTATAAAATAATAAAAAAATTTATGTACCCGTTAGTTTTATATTTATGAGAAAGAAAACAATTTTCTTTTATTCATGCCACAATCTCTGCACTTGATCTCATACAAAGAGTACTTTTATTATATAGGAAACTCATATCTCAAATCACGCAAATTTAAAAAAATAAAGAAATTCCATTTTAAAAAGATACCCAATATAAACGGGCAGTCCTCTTGTCCTTTGCAGAGGTTAACCGTGTCAAGCACTCGGTCACTATCGACCAACGAAAATGCGCCGTCAACAAATAGTGAGGAAATTAATATTGGGGTTCATCTCTATTCCATTTTTGTTCTCACACCCTAACGCACCCATGCCGTTGCCAGCGGTCATCGACGGAAGTCTACCAAAACGGTTCATTCTAAGCTCTTGTAGAGTCACTATGAAATACTGTTGACAAGGGATATAATATTAAAATGTGGCTGATAAACACAGGACAGGAAGCCCGGTTTCAGCCACTAACCCCTTTTTGGTAAATTGAGACTTCATGAGGTTCTTACTAATAATGTTGATAGCTTTGATCTGTCAACGTTCACTTCCACTTATAAATAGCCAAAACCAGCATCGCGATCGATATAGATTGAAATTGTGCTGTTTAGTGGTCTTGAATGGGTACACTGCATACTCTGGCGCTAGTGTACCCAATCAAGAGAACGAAACGGCACAATTGCAATGACGATCGATCGCAGTTGCGTATGAGAGTAAGCATGCAGATCATAGTCTTAAAATATCCACCATGTCCTCTACCCTAATCACTCTTACCCGAAACAGAGAGATAGTAACTATTGTATACGAGGCAAACTATTAAGTGATTATAAACTCCAAGTAAATTGTTTTACAAATCGTTTAAATTGAATATATGTATAATATCATATGGTCTGAATAGAGGACAGTTATCGATAGTGAAAAATAAGTCAAGAAACCTCACAAAAACTATAATTTTCATTGTAGTAAACATAGAGATTCTGATTTCAACCAACCTCACTTTAGATATCCCGCGTGATACTACCGATTTCTACTCGTATTCCTTTTCTGTGGATTCTCTGTGTTTCTGCGAGGATGTCAGGAACACTCTGGATGCCAGGAAAGCTATTTCCTGTCTCTGTGCTAACGCTATCCTTATAGTGTTCTTATTTAATATGTATAGGTATATCTCATCTTATCCTTCTGACTTTGCACCAAATACCCCATATTTTTCCCATTCCTTTTTAATAAGGCCGCTATTTGTGAATTTTGTATAGTTATATCGTTTAATTTCGTGTTGTTTTCTTGTCTATATCATGTGCAATAAAAAATGTTATTATTAATATTATGTCCGGTCCACACCACGTTCCAAACACTATTAATTTTGGAGTTGTTAATTTATAATTTAGTTTATTATTAATTTCTTATCATAGGAAATGGTTACTTGTAGTTTCAAGAGACGAAATCACGGTGCCCTAATTGTTACTTGTTATGATTACAGTTAACAAGTAAAAAATGTTAATCTATCTCAATTTCACCTGGACCAACTACCTATCATCAACTGAATCGTGGTTACCCTAGTTTGTATCCCACTTTTTTCTCAATCACCTTTTCTCGGAAACTTTACGGCCCAAAAAGTGTAAAAAAAAAATTATGTTGTAATCTTGAAACGTTGCGCCTGTATGGGAATATTATCCCTTACTAAATAGGTAGAAATTTAAGACTCGAGTGAGATCTCCTGACCTTCGTGATCCTTTTAAATCGTAAATTGTAACATAGTAATACCCGCCATTTGGTTTCATTCATTTTGACCACTTGACTTTCAAGAGCAAAGACTTCACCTAAATAGAAGTCAGTGGTATAGAGATGAGGTTAAAGTTAAAATTTCAGGATTTGTTTTTTTATCAATAAAAAAGTCTATACCATCGGTTTATATTATTTTTGAAACGAGCTTTTGCTAATTTAATTTAGATATTTGTCGCACTATATTTAGATGTTACGTACCCAAAGAGCCTATGCTGTGGCACTGGCTTTACTCATACTTAAAAAGGACACTTTTCTGCATAGATAATACTTAAAACTATGGATGTCAGACTCAACCCGTGTTGTTTTGTCAAAATATTAATAGATCAAACTTGCATAATGCATCGCAGATAATTATAATTGTGTCGCTAATCTCTTGGTATTCAATTATTTTTGTTATTATACAAAATATTAGCACTATAAGTATCATCTATTATTTTTTGCATAAACTACAAGTCAACTGAAATAGAACTGAAGCATTCAAAGTTTAGTAGTACCTACATATGGAAAAGTGCAAGAAGTTGTCTGAATATAGATTCACAAGATGGCACTGTAAAACTTACTATTCACTTCAACAGATGGCGCTGACATATAACCCTACCACCGAAAATATTCTTGTAACAAAAGGCTTCCTCTAGATATTAGGGTTACTTATATTTTGTTGGATTATTCTGAACCGTATTATGAAGTCGATACAGACAAAATGAATGTCTATGGATGGTCACTCGACGCGACGAACAGGCAAAACTGGCTGGCAGTCTGTTGCCGCAGTTGCAGTGGAGGGTTGATACGTCAGTACATGTTGCTTATTTGTCGTGAAAATGCAGTGAATGGAGTGTTTTTATATCAACATTGTGACTGAAATTCATGCTGAATCTCAACTAGAGTTATTGGTGATTGCAGTGGAGTGTGTAATTGTGAATTTAAGTGAACGTTATTGTGTTTAATTGTGACCTAAAACGGTGGAAGGTGCGATTATTTCAAGTTCGCCGGCTTATCATGTTATGGTAAGTGTATGATCGATATTTATTTACCCCATGACTTCATTCGATAATTTTTGATGATATTACAGCAAATATGATGTGAAGTTTTATCTAAACAGGAATTACTTCAAGTTTTAATAGTAGGTAGGGATATCTGACTTACGTTTGTGAACATATCTTTAGCAAGTATCCAAAATTTATTGGATTTTCTCACTTTATTGCCTGTCAATCAAGTAGGTTCATATTGTTTTATACTATCTATTGAAATAAATATCCAACTTGAATGTCCTGTCTTTATTATCTAATATTTTCTAATATTTGTATTTGTTTAATGTTTGCACTCTTTGAATTTTATACCTATTTCACTTTATTTTATCTATCAAATTAATTTCACAATCTTATACTGTATAGAAATTATTGATTATATTATAAGAAAAAAATCCGGAATGGCTATTTCAAATCTTAATTTTTAGAAGTTGCCAAGAAATGTGTTAAGGAAATATTACAAAATGTGGATAGAAATTATAAATTATATTTTTTGTGTCTTGGACCAACATAGATGCCAAAAAGAAACATAATAATAAAGCAGCAGATTTGTACTGCATTTATAATAATAATAATCTGATTATCTAACTTAGGTATCAGTCTCACACCAGAACCTCAAGAACAAATGTGTTTGTAACTTACTAGCACGTAAAACATTATTCTGTGTGATGAGAAAATAAATGATTATTATTAATTATTATTATAATATTATACCTTTCAGTGACTTGTCTAGCTTTAAAGGTTGTTGAATGATTGATTCACTTGTAATCTCAATATAATGTAATGAAAACAAAATGCAATTTAGTAGTTTTCAATACTTAAAGAAATCTTATTTGTCTGGTAACTGTTATATAATAATAATAATTATGTTACACCATCAGGCACCATATATTTTATATAATTTTAAATAACAACATTTTCAAAACTTATAGATTTTATTGTCGTCATTGGAAATCAGTTGTTGCAAATCTGATGAAAGATGTCTCAAGTCTTTGAGATAAAGTATTAATACACAGTGGGTCATCTGTTCTGGTGTAAGGTTAAATGGCGACCGGCAAGAATTGACACATCTGGCAAACATGCACTAACCTTAAGTAAAGCAACAATATGAAAAAAAAGTGAAAATTACAAAATAAAAAAGGCCCTTAACAAAATACTTGGGACTTGGGTACACTTGTGCCAGAATATGCTAGTGTACCAAATCAAGAGTATAAAATGCCATGATTGCAGTTTCAATTGATAGTGATTCTGCCATCGACATCATCCTTGATGAATTTAAATTCGTCCAATCTAATGCAGATCATCAATTTCATCTTTTTTGTCCTGAGACATTACACACAGCTGCACACCTTTCATAACAAAGAGCACTTCACCCCTTCCTAACTTTAAGTTTATTGATATAACAGCTTGCAAATGTTTATTCTGACACACTTAAAACTTACAGTAGAGTTTAGTAAGAAAATAATATTAGGTAATTTTAATATAAAAATATTTAATAATATAATTCATAATAAAAATATTGATTATGTATTCAACATAAAATGTGATTTAAATTAATAATAAAAATTACTAATAATACAAAAGAACCATACAGTTGTTCCAGGGCAGGTCATTGATTTAGAATGTAATATAATATTATTTAGTAAATTTCCTACAAAATAATATTTTAAATATCACCCTCTTGAGAGCCTTTGTTTTTCATGAGGTGACAAGAAATAAGTTTTATTATACTACTGTATTAATAAAAAGTTTTTTACATATAAAATTACATCAAAAAACTAGTTAAAGGTCTTACCTCTCTCTTCTCATTTGTGTGATATGAAGGGGAGTAGGGGAGGGGTGTAGAGCCTCAGGTGTCTTATAAGGTACAAAAATGATTAATTATGACATGCTTGCTATTATGTGTGGCTGGGTTGTTTGCCATTCTAATCAAACTTAGATGTTAAAAAAGAATTTAGAATTTAGTAAGCCAAAAAGGGCGACCCTTTTCTTGGAGACACCACAATTAAAGGTCAAAGCAGATGGTTAAGATGTTATAATATTATATCTTAAGATAATATATCGCCATACAAGGCTAAGATAATATAATGTTTCCATATGAAGTATCACAAGATGCCAAAAGATATGGTAATATAATATACTTATAAAGAATTTCAAAATATTATAGCATCTTACGAGATTTGCTGTTTGCCAGAATGCTACCTCTTTAAGGGTTGAATTACATCTGGTAGCAGATTATAGCACTTTTTCATCTTCCTATCTTTTTCTGTGTCTCAGAACCGCCTTTTTCCATATCTTGCTGCCAGATGTAAATAAAAATATTAATAAAAGAGTAGGATGATGGAATAAAGTTCCATCCACTACATTAACAGTGATGACTCTCAATGTTTCGTCTATTAAGGACATTGGTATTGACGGTCAAAACACGGTGATACAATTGCGAAATACGTGTGTTAATGAAAATTAACAATTAACCTTGTAATTCTAAACCTAGGTAAGCTTACGTCATGACAGTATTAGTCATACCGTTACCATAGCATTTAAAAAAGGTAGGTAAAATACAATCATTCACTTTAGTTTACTACATTCCGTATAATAGTGGTGGTACAGTATGGATTTACCTCACAGCATTCAAAATGATAATATCTAGATTTTTAGAATGTACACATTGTCTGAATAGAGTCTTGTAACTCCAACGTCCAAAGACTTAAAACGAGTAGTACCAAAAGAAACATCAATCTGACTACCTGTTGTCTGATAAGATCAAGATGCTATTAATGCAATAGCACCAAGCACGAACGTGTTGAGTTGGGTGGATTCCACTCAGATATGTCGTGCTATATTCATTAGTCTTGCTATATATTAATTAGTCGTGCTTGTCATTAAGAAATGAGGCTCAGGAGCACGGAGCTCGAAGATTTGGAATCGTAACGAGGAATTGCTCCTAAAATTACGTTGATCATAGAGAAAGGACTTATGGGCTGAAGTAGAATATCTAACAGATCTACAAAATATCTGTTCCTTAAAATACCTATATTAGTGATTCAAGCTGTTAATTAACATATAATCGGTTTATAAAGAAGACGAAATAGAGCCCACATAAGTTATATCGGAGTTGCAGAGCAAATTGTTTTTGGATAGTAAAGCCATAATTACGAAGGATATTTATAATTCCGATAAGTCTAGCAGACTGACTGAAATCAACAATAATTGTATGACTATGCCCGATGCCTTAACGCAGTGGTGTGAATGCCACAGACATTCCCAATTTCTCTAGATCGAATCATATGAAACGAGTCAATGAAATGACAAGGGACTCAGGTCTGAGTTGATTCCCAGCTCATTGTCATTATTTTTTGAGATTCCGTAAGTGCTATAGAATTATACACGAAAGAACGATATAACCAATATTCGTGATGTTTTATAATATTTTGCTGTGTCAAATGATATAAATTGAATAAAAATAAAATTAGTAGGTATATTAACAGCACCAGTTTTCCACATTCAAATAATTATAAGTAACTAGCTAACGTCACTTCGCACGCACAAATTGTAGCCTATTTAAATTTTTTGGCCGGTTTCTGAATTGAGAAAAGTACAAAATCTCAACTCATTATTCTCATAGCTTAAGTTTTTCGGTTGGACATGGAAAAAGGCCTAGCTTAATCAAACTACTGTTAACTGATCTTTAAAAAAATAAAATCATACACGAACATCTGTTTAAGTGACGTTTGAGATGGTCTAAGTAGGTACGATTTAAGTCGTACTTAACTTGGAATTCTCAATTCAGAAACCAAACAAACAATCAAATGTTTCCTCTTTATAATATTAGTATAGATTACTATCTATATTCAACAAGGCTATCTTTATTCCCTGCACGTTCAGGACATCGCCCTCAAGTTCTTATTATTTTTTTTAACCATGCTCTTGTCTATAAGTCGTGCCACACATGCTCCGATCCGCCGTTAAATTCGAGACCAAACAATGCTATCTCCACATCTGGGGCTGACTCAGTGTGACGTCACAATCTGTGTTTATGGTCCGGCAGATTCTCATAAGAGTGGTGATGAAAGTTTTACCACTTACTGATAAATTTTATGAATAACAACTGGCAGAAATGTAATTGTTGAATTTAATAGTTTTAAAAGAAAATTAGGTGCACAACAGTTGTGATACTGGAAATAAAGCTGATTTAAATCCCCAAAAGCTTTTTAGATGTCTTTGACTGAAGTATCAGCACTTTATTAAAAAGCTCTTAAAAAAGAAACCTTAACAAAATTTTTACATTTCTTTGAATATAAAGGTGCTTTGACTTCTAGATTGAAAAAAAATGAGAAATTGCTGTATTTTCTCCGTTTCTTTGTGAGGGATTGTTAACAAAGACTGGGGAACCGCAGACCTTGCTTGCAAAGGAACCTTTTATAACGAAACTACCTTCACTAAAACTGGTTCAGTTAAATACGCAATTTTAGTTGTAGTATTTTTTGTAAGTCGGACGTTAGTCGGCAGTACTTTTATTACTATTCTTGCAGTAGTTTTATTATATTCAATGAAAAATTGACGAGAAACGTAAAGAGTAATCAAAGAAAATATTTTCAATGGCTAAGCATAATGCGAATGGGATACAGTATAGGTCCTCAGGGACTATTTCAATAGACGTCATAAAGCGATACGGACAGTTTCGTTGCATGCGTCCTCGATGCTTCGACTTAGGTTCGGGATAGTTTAAATCTTTGTGTTGTTTTATTATGGCTAGTTTACATGCCAAATATTAAAATATTGTTTCTGTTTAAAATATTGCTACTAATTTAGAGTAAAATCTAAATGGAATCGTCATGGCGCTTGCGACAATGCCAACAATAAGGAATTCATTAAAAACAAGATCCAGGCAATCCTTTGACATTTAACTCAAAATTATGGGATCGTGGAACTTTAAAATGATCTGCACTAACCTATATCATACTATTAACTCAAACTCA